AGCGGGTTGTAGCGAGACATCCGGTTCTTATGTAGTCTTTCCGGATCTGAGGATTTTTATCTGATTGAGAAATCCTTACTTGTTTCTGACACTTCCGATCAAGATATCCAATTTTCATATCACTGAATTTGATCAAGTCTTCAGGCATCAAAACGCTTAAAGAAATATCACAGTTTTATTGGAAAACTCAAGAACTTGGTTTTAACAATATTTCTAAAAAGAAAAATTACATTGAATATTGGGGGAGACCTAAAGTCCCTATTACATAAATCATCATTAAAATCTATAATATTTTTCCCAACAGACCACGAAGCATCTGGAGAACAAGTTGGTGCTGGGAGACTGGTGCATCGACATCGTCCAGCCAGTCGGCCAAATTCTGCAATTGTTGGCAATAAGCCGCCATGGTGGAGTTGCCTTTGACGGTTGTGTGAAATTCATGCTCCAGCTGCATGGCCCTGGCATGTTTGTTGTCGTGGAACAAGTCGTGAACGACTTTCCAGAGAGCAGAGGCAGTAGAAACAGAAGAGATTACCAGATCTGAGACCTCTTCGGTGATGGTAGAGAGAATTCAACCCTGGAGGAGAGCGTCGAGTTGGAACCATTCGTTGTCGTCGTTGGAGAGGGGGGCGACGGAACCAGTCGGCTCCACTTTTTGTAGTTGGGCTGAGAGAGGCTGAGTTGAACGGGGACATGGAGTTTTACATTAGATACTGTTGTGAAAGCAAGATGAAGTGTTTTGGGGGAGGTAGTTTGGGAGGTGACTTCACTGGCTTCGGCCATGATAGTGAGAAAGAGAAGAGGAGGCTGCCGGTGAGAGGAGGAAACGGCGGCAGTAGGGCTGCCGCAGGTGGGGTGGCGGTTCGGGCCGAAGGAGGAAGAGAGAAGGGGAGAGAATTAGGGTTTTGGTGTTTTAGGCTCCGATACCATGTAGAAAGATTAATTTCCTTGAAAGAGTATGTGGGAGTACATGTGTTTATATAGAAATGGGATTCCTATTCCTATACAAAGTAGGAGTCAATAATAGGAAACAATATATTTACATTAAATATAGAATATATTTAACACGAAAGTCCTGGAAATTTAATACTACAGTGCGTGCCAATGGTCGTGCCAATGCTGCGTTTTTTTGTAGTGAAGGATAAAAGTGGTTTTTGATAGAAAAGAGAAGTGTTTTGTTGGAAATGAAAAAAATGAAAGAGCAAGTGTTTTTGAAAACGGAGGGTGTATTTGTTTTCGGCCTCAAGGTAATATTCAACATCATTAACCTATTTTAACAAAAGGATCGTGTGTGGGTATTGTGTAAGATATTGGGGTTTGAACAATATGGAGCTCGGCGTTATTATACCTTCTGTAAAAAGTGTTCCAAGAAGCTGATCCTCACTAATGGAAGTTATTCTTATGGAGATTGTAGCCTAATGAGTTTTGTTTTGAGGTACATATATAACATATGTCCTAAACTACTATTTAATTCTATCTGATTTAACACCTTTAAAAAATGTTTTTTTGGGATATACTGCCTCTGTCCCAGAATATTTGTCCACTTTCATTTTTACACACCATCCAATACACTTTTTTAATCTATTTTATCTTGTAATTTGTATATTAAAAAATTATATATTAATAATCTATATGTTAAGACAAATCAAAAAAGATCACATATGACTATATTTAGGCTTACACATTGAGAGAATTTGATGAGTTAAAGTACTTAGATGAACAGTTCCAAAAGTCAAAACGGGACGAATACTCCGGTGACGGAGGGAGTATAAAATAAGTTCCCATTGAAAGTGCGGGTGGTTGATGATACAGAAAATCTTGCATTGATCTTGTGGGGTAAACATTGTATACCACTGTTTGGAAAACAACAGGCAGAATAATTCTTAAAGGAAGCCTTTCTCTGTAAACCTTATTCTAAAATCATTTTGATTGCATTTTAGTACCGTCATTAAATATTTTGAAATATATAAATCTAAATTTCACGGTGATGATATTGAAATCTCAAAAGTGTTTAACTCGGCAATTAATAAGTCACTTTTTTTCGAGCTGGAACTCAAAAAGCCTAAATCAAGTTTTTATGAATTTTTTTCTGTGCACTAGATCATTAACGATCCAAAGTTTTTTTCAAGTGTTTAACATGGGTGTCCTTTTTTAAGATGCATGCAGGGGGAGGGGGTTTATTTTTGACGTCTACACCTACGTTTGTGTATCGCAAGAAAAAAACCATGTCTATTTTCAATTTCATTAGCTCAAAAAAAAAATACTCATATTTCAGATCTTTAATACTCCCTCCGTCCCTGAGAACCTTTCTCTTTTCTTTTTCCATTCGTCCTTAAAAACACATTTCATTTCAATTAAAAAGTCACTTTTACCCTTTACTTTTTCATACCCTACCTATCACATCATACCTTTTTACTAATAATCTATCCATCAAATCATACTTTTACCCATCACATCAAAGGACATTTTTGGAAATTCAATACCAAAATACACTCCCCTTAAGTCACTCCTCAAAATCAAAATTTCCATGTTTTCCGGGACGGAGGGAGTATATTAATTAGACAATCCATGAAAACTCCTACAATTTGTATAAGTATTTTTATACTCCCTCCGTCCCAAAAAGATATTCCTGTTTCATTTTTTGCGAATCCTATAAAACACTTCTATACACATCTAAAATGCTTAAAATTTACTACATTTCTCATTTATTGCAAGTAGAAGTTGTTTTGAAAGTTTTTTTTACATTTGAGGCGGGATAGAAGTGTTTTATGAGACGCGCAAAAAATGAAACAGGAAGATCTTTTTGGGACGGAGGGAGTAAGATTTGTTTAGAAAATTTGCGTTTGGATGCAGACTACCATGGATTTAACAGCCAACAAATTAGCCTTGCAACACACCAGAAGAATTAGTATTCCTTTCAATCATAAAAGTGACTTTTGTAGACTCGAAAACAAAGCAGACTAAGGCCAGGCCTGGAAATTATACTTAATTCTTCAAGAATTGTTGCACAATTCCAGTCAAACAATTGAAAGATAATACTGGTTGTTATTCTCTTTCCCGGGAGAAAGTATGCTGATGGGTGTATTCCACCCACGACCGGTCAAAGGAGAAGACCGATTAGTTGACCGGTCAATCTCGAAAGTTTTGGAAGGGAGACTTAAATCGTCAGCAAAACGATATATAATCGGCCAAAAGATGACCGGTATACTCTACGAAAAAGTATACCGGTCAAACTACGTTGTGATCCTATTTGTTCCCAGACTTCGATGAATTC